AGATATATTTTTATAAACTTTTTTTATATACCGAAGCAATCGCGCAGGCAGAAGCCTAAATGCCGGGCCACCGCGGCTGCTATGATGATCCCAAAGAAATTTTGCTAAGGTTGGTAGAACTGAGAAAAGCTTCCTCTGGTAGATTGTTCCACAATCTCAACACCCTCGGGACATAGGAGTGGTCGTATCGGCAAGTTCTGGATGTACGAAGTTGGACACGGTTAGTATATCATAGACGATGAGTTTATATTTGTATCATTAACATATATACGTTACACAAGGCAAACAATTATAAATATTAGATGGTACGTAAGTGTGACATCGTAAGCTCTGAAAAGTTCGTATTTCTGATTTCATTTTCTTTGTGTCTGGTACTATAAACATGACTAACGTTATTGAAGTTGTTTTTATTTTTGTAGTATTGAATAACGTGATGTAAAAACAGTTACCTTTGGTCAAACATTCTAGTCTCTGAAAATAATTTATCGGAAGGATAAATAACTTGTTTTGCTAGATATTACCTTTAACATTTTTTTGCAGTGTATATAAATACCGCAAATGGCAATATGTGTCACTCGCCCGCTAGAGTGCGGCTAGTTCATTCCGCGCGTATAACAAGTGAGCTTGAATGTCAGTTAGTTCAAAGGTGATATTTTATAGGAAAACCTACTTAATGTGGCATTTCACGTGAAGCGGACAGCGAAAAAAGTGAGGTTTTAAGATGCGTTCATATTGAGCCTGTAGGTGTGCAAGAGAAAATACATGTTAGGTTTATTTTCCAAGTTACCGGCCTCGGAAGAGTATTTGAATTTGGGATTTTCTCAAAGAGAAGACATTTTCGGTTGTTTTTGATGAAAAAGCCAAATTTAAGATTCCAAAAAAAAACTTAAGATGCTAAAACGCAAGTAACCATTTCGTACAAACAAAATTTGGGCAACCTAGCATTTATTAGTTTCGCTTATTTTCACTCCAAAGTATATCCTAAGGTCTGTTTAGAATACAGCGGAAGTTTTGAAATGGTATGCGGATTAATTGAGGGGTTCTTCTTTTTATGGATTTACAAGTCGCCCTGGGTATGACGTTAGGCACTTGTTTAGGTCGACTGGTTTACGAGATATTGCATTGATAGGCTACACCATGAGTATCTTTCAGCTCTACTGATCATTTTATATATATTTTAGCATAAAATTATAGTTGAGTTTTTTTAATTTCAAATTTGGATTTTTATCGAAAAGTACAGAAAATTTTCTATATAAAATGCTCTGTTTCATATCCCAGTATGATATTCTTCAATTAGAAGAAATTGGAATGCCCCTAATGTCAAAAAAACCTAGATAATGTGCGGGGAGTCATAAACCCCGATAACCCCTCCCTCCTGAATCCGTCCTTGATTACGGTGTATAAATATGCCAGTGTACGGAATCAGTCTACCTGACGCCATCTTTTCTCCTCATATGTGAATATCCTTTAAACAATAAACCGTTTAACACTGAATTATTTTGTAAAGAAAGTTCTCCGATTGGGTACCTTGGCAGAGGCCCAAAGTATCATAATTGTACAATCGTATATTTTCTGTAATGCATAGGGAATTTACAAAAGCGGGTATAATCCCACGCTCTGTTGCAAATGGAAATTTAATATTGTATTTCCATGAATAAACCTTTGTGGATCGCACAATGCAATGGTCGAATAAAAATGTGCTAGCCTGCTTTGTTGGCAAGTGGACTTTTTCCGTACAATGTGTTGGGAAATGCTCATTAGGGTGGCACATATCAACTCAGCTACTACCGATCCAAAGTTAATAATATTAGAGAACTGGATAAGGTGGGTGGACTATGGAAGGCCATGATCCTAGTAAGGTCGATCATTACAAAAAATACGATGACAAGTTCCTTGTACTTCTACGCTGACACCCATCGATTTCAAGAACACAGACGCGGCGATTGGTCATGTAAATGCTATCGCTCGCTTTGTGGACATTGACAGATGATATTAAAGTTAATATCCTAGCTCACAGCAAAACGTAAGTTTGCAAGTGTATAATTTATACTTTTTTATTTTTTAATTGAATATTTTCACCCCCATCTTTTGGCCTTACATTAGAAGGCAATTTAGATCAGTTTAAATTGTTTTTCAATAAAAATTATCAACGTTATTGGCAAGCTTACATAACTGATATTGATATAAAACCCATTAAAATAATTTTGGAGAAATATTGTCACGGATACATTATTAGTTCTAGGATAGCTATCATTGAGTATGTTTTGGGAGAATATATCATTGTAAGTATTTAATACTTGATTCCAATGCAAGTACTTTATATAAATAAAAATATTTTATAAATTACATAATTGAACGAAGTGTTAATAATCTACTTCTTTTATTTAACCAGTATTCAAAGGATCAATAACTGTTTATTTGTTAGTGTGGCTCATTAGTCCACCCACCTTAGTACTTTGTCAGGAATACAGAGCGAATGATTGAATGGAAATGGATACGCAATCTTCTACCTAAGATCAAAAGTGTATAGGCCACTTAGCGAGTCCTTTAGCACTCATACAGGGTGAAAACCAACCATAATATTTCTAGAGTAGAAAGCTGTTATAAACATGTCAATGAATGTCCCATTATCAAGATACAATATGTTGAAAAGTTGAAAAAATGTGTAGTGCGGTATTGGGGTTATCTTACTTGTTTCAATAATTCATTGAATAATTATTAAATAATTTAATAATAATAATCTTGTGTATGAACGAGTGGACATATTTACTGGAATTTTTGCCACTACATCCATAATAAATGATGTGCTCTGAGTACATTCTAACCCTACCGCGTAGATGGGGTATTTGTATTTATAGAATCAATACTTTCCGATCTTGAACTGAAAGTGGCTTTAGATTATTCACGTTTATTGACCATTTCTCTCTATATTATGCTACATATAAACACCTGCTAAACTGTTGCCTGAAGGTTGACAGCTAAAACCTCCAATTATCTTAGTAAATTAACTACACGGTAGTAGAGCTAAGGTATTTTCTTCCGTTTAGAAGACTTGCTTGATCTTGGTCTTGCGAAATTATCGAGGTCCTGGTCTTGCTGTTGCAAATTTTGCCAGTCGATTAAAATAGTCCCATATTACTTTTCTGTCATAATATGCATTATGCTTTATTATGCATTATATAGTTACTATGCATTATATGGATTATATGTTACGAGTATACGTTATATGTTATATACGAGGTTTGTCCGGAAAATACATATAAATAATTCGGAGAGTCGTGTCAAGGCGTTGTGGAGGGGTGGCCCGCTGGTTCTCTCTCTCTACGCAATCCTCTCTATGCTCAGTTCGAGCCAAAGCGCTGATGTTGATGCGCTCTCTCTCACATCGAGCTCTGAGGGAAATGTTGAACGAATTCGGGGCTGTGTTCTTAAAGACCGTCGATTGACAGTTAAAATGATAGCTGAGGAACTGTCAATCCCCAAAACAATCGTCAACAAAATTCTGACAGAAAAACTAGAAATGAAAAAATTTTGCGCGGAGATCGTTCCTAAGCTCTTGACTCCTGAACAGAACGCAAGGAGGGTTGCTTGCTGTGAAAATTGGTTGGTAGCATAGGAACGGGGGGACTTTCTTAACCGGGTCATCACTGGAGACGAGGCTTGACTCTCCGAATTCGATGTCTAGCTAAATCTCAAAGCATGGAGTTCAAGCAAGCAGGGGAATCGAGAACAAAAAGGAAGAAAAAATCACGATCCAATGTGAAAAAAATGTTGATTGTTTTCTTTGATTCTCGGGGCACTGTTCACCAGCGATCTGTCCCTAAGGCCAGAAAGTGAACGGAAATTTCTACATTGAAGTTTTGCGTCATCCCAGAGCTCATGTCGCCCGAGTTCGACCGGATTTGGCACAAGGGGGCAGGTGAAACCTGCATCACGACATCGCGCCTGCTCGCACATCTCTCGCTGTGCGTGAGTTTTTGGCCCGCAGCTAAATCACCGTGACCGAACACCCTTGCGACTTCTTCCTGTTCCCAAAATGCACAATGGTGGATTCGGGGGCGGCACTTGGGGTTTGTGGATGCCATCAAGGCAGAAACGACACGGCAAATGAAGAGCCGCAGAATTGAAGTTTTCCAGCGATCGTATCAACAAGTAGAAACGGCGTTGGCAGAAGTACAGCATGTCTCAGGGTGAGTACTTTGAAGTAGAACCAATTGAAATACCTGAACAATTGTTAAATAAAGTTTTCCTATGTTAAGCTTTGTTTTTCGTACGGATTACTGTTGTTACTCTTTCCACGTATAAATGCTTGTACATATATGTTGTACTTGCCAAATGATTATTTTCATCTCGCTTGTCAATGCAAGTAGTTTTTGCAAGACCGCAAGAGTCTTGCAACACAGTCTTGGACTAGGTCTTGCATTTAATAAAGTCTTAGCAAGACCAAGATTGGTCTTACATCTTCCGAAGCAATACTGCGGTTTCATTCACTTGATACATAATATGAATACATAAACCGGTATCATTGGGTAGGTATAGACAATTTATCAAAATTGTCCTGGGCTATTTTGTCCTTCCGCGATTCTCGTGATAAAAATACAGTGCACTAAGATTGCGACAACAGTAAAATCAAGCTTCTTATATAGAAATCGTTCAGAATAACTAGATATCTCCATCTTGTAACAAACTTTTGTAAATACGTCAGTATCATTTTTTCTTCTTACGAAATTACATCTAGCAACATTAGTGTGGCTACTAGCTAATTTTCGGAAGAAGGAAGTTGGACACGTCAAGGAGGACCTCGGTAATGACCTGTTCGATTTCCGGACTTATAACTACTAGATTATTATCTCTGGCGCCCTTCAGTGTTATAGGCTTACGTAACTCTAACGAAAAATCGAATAATTGCTGGTGGTTTGATCATTTTTTGTAGATTAAGATGCTCCATATCTAATTTTTGCTGAAAGTGTTCAATATTGCTCATCTTTTCGCACAGAATCGTCCAAAGAAGTTTGTCCCCATGTCTGCAACACACCTTCTATAAAAAATATTCAATAAATGATACTACAAGTAGACTTAATAAAGTATTTATTGTAAAAATATATCTATAATACTATTTCTTAAATGATGTTTTTGCCAGATTTTGAAGCGCTGCATTTGACCATTTCGAAAGCGGTTTCCCTTGCATCTGCCTTCTTCAATGCACATTCCTTGATCAGTTTCTCGGCTTGCTCTTCTCCTACAACGGATCCTACTTTGGCCTGCAACAAAGATTTTTTTTAGTCTACAAGCTCATTTCAAGTTTCCTACTCTACAGCCCACGATTATGCCGCGGGCGTTAAGGTAACATTAAACTAACCCATGATGAGCAAAATATGTCTACCACTGGGACTGAACTTATTTATCTGTGCTAGGCAATGGTCTGATTACCGGTGAAATGAGAGTACGGTGGATTTATTTATTATTATTATTGCTCTGGAAATATTGAAGAGTGAACGGAGGGGGGGGGGGTAGCTTTCAGGTCATTCTCTCTCACTCCATTTTTTACCGCGTGTGATATTTTTTATATTTAATGAATGTATTTCTTTCTTGCTTCGAAATAGCCCCAAGATACGAAACTAGTACGTTCGTTCTAGTTTGAGATATAAGAGGCTAAACCCTTGAGGATGAGTTTAGAGTAATGAAAATATACATTTTTTTATAGAAATTTGGACGAATGAAAGCCCTGGGGAAAACCCTCAGCCAACGAATAAAAAAGGGTTTCAGAGTTATTGCTTGTTTTCCTGTATCTTCCATGAATTTACATCCATACATGTATAATACGGTTTCCCGAAATGGTGAAAAGAGGACCACAGGGATGTTAATAAATATCAAAGGACTAAGCGCAAGTTACGACGCAATATTTACAGGGTGCGCAAATCGTCAAGAGACTAATTCAACAAACAGGCTTAATTGCCGTGCTACTAATCTGAATTCTATATAATCGATGGTGTGCAATAAGTAAGGTTATGCGGCAATTATTACATAAGAGCCGTTTTACACACAAGAGAATTACTCCGAAAATTATGGTCATAATTATGCCGAAAATCTGCATGGAAAAAATATTGAAGATTTTCTGTACAACCTGTATGACACAAGCAAACAAAATTTCGGAGTAATTCATATGATACACCTGCGCATTAGAGTAATATTTTCGAAGGGACATAACCTTAACGGGTATGACGTCCAATATAATCGTTGATTAAAATTTATTTTTGAAATCGAGATCTTGGTTAATATTATCAAACTTCTCAATGCTTGGACTATCGCATCCAGCGCCTGACGCCGCAAATTTCTGTTTTTGTAATTGGGTGACTTCACCTTGTACAAGTTTGGCCATTTCCGATTCCACCACATTATGAATAAACAATTAATGCTGCCTACTCCTGTCAGCTGTTGAAGGCAGCGAAAGCCGCATACACACGTAAAAGACGCGGTGTCCCCATCAGAAATGTCATCCTCCTTCATGACGCTGAAACGAAGCAAAAACTGAAGGGTATGCATTGGGCAACTCTTGAGCATCCTCCATACACCCCAGATTCATCACCCTGTGACTATCATTTGTTTGCGCCCATGAAATATGCACTTGGAGGATTGCGATTTTACAACGAAGGAAATGTGGAGATCTTCGTGCGAAATTGGCTGGTCACCCAACCTCTAAGTTTCTACAAGCAAGGAATTTGTAATCTTCCAAATAGCTGGGAAAAATATGTAGAGCGTGGAGGAGATTACATAGAAAAATAATCAACAGCATTTTTGTATTGTTTTATGAATAAATAAATATTAAAAAAGAGTTACGGTTTATACAGGGTGACTTGTAATGTCACGTATTCCTGTTAAGGGGTGATAGATTAGGTCAATAGCAACCGATTTGGTCCTATCATGTCTTATCCAAAAGTTGACCATTTTTGAGTTATTTGAATTTTAAGTTTTTTATTTTTTATTCCGATTTCAGACGGTTAAAATTGAAATACAAAAAAACTGCATGCTTGATTTTGAGTTTTTTGTTATCGTCGCATAGCAGACATTCCAATAGTTCATAATAAGTAATAAAATGTTGAAAAGCTACTAACGTTTTAAAATTACGCTTTTTAAATGTATCATTTTCTTTTTTTTTTACTCACTTATTCGATAAAGAATGCAATTTTCTGTAAAAATCACCTACTAATAAAATGTGCAAATTATGTAAAAAATATCTCTATCTAACAAGCTTTCATTTGAGGTATTAAGCGTTCAATTATCTGAAGTACATGCAGAGAAACAACAATGACACCCACAGAGGCTGGATTTTTAAGGAATTTGTATTAGCTGTTTGAACAAGTCGTTACTGTCCTCAAAGGACTCGCATGCCATGATTGTTTTATGGCATCGGCTCGACGAGGACCCGAGCGAGAAGAGCTGACTTAGTGGAGGAGTGTGTGAGAGAGAGCTATTATTATTCATCATTGTTTTACGCCATCGCCGCACGCCGAGACTTAGGTTTAGTTGGTATCAACTACTGCGTACGCGCACACGTTTTACGCACGATTATTATTTACGAGTTTCCCAGTTCATTTCGAGTGGTTTCTTTATCATGATGGCAGACGCAGAAGATCCGCCAGGACCTCGCCATAGCGAGCACGGGCAAACTTTTACAAATGAAGAATAGGCAGACATAATGTTCTGTTATGGACTTTGTAACGGCGATTCTGCAGCTGCCCGCCGTGAATATCGGCAACGTTTCCCGAATCGCCGAACACCTCATGTTACTGTGTTTGACTCTGTGTATCGGCGCATCCGCCAAACCGGACATGTTCAAAGGCAACATAGTGATGCTGGTCGACCCCGAGTCTATCCTCCTGAAGATGAAGAGGAAATCCTTCGTGTGTTTCAGGAAGACCCTACTACGTCTACGCGCATTGTGGCTGCTCAGTTGGGTATATCACAATACAAAGTATGATTTACTGTGCATACTGCAAGATTATACCCTTATCACTACACGCATGTGCATGTGATTGAAGAGGGCGATCCTGCAAGACGATTAGATTTCTGCAGGTACATGTTACATGCAGATACAGAAGATCCAGACTATTTTAAGAAAATTCCATTGGGCATAGCTTTCGAGTTGGCTTTACAACAGTGAGTGCAATCGTAACCGAAGTCTGTGAAGCGATATGCAGACATATGGAGCATATATATTTACCATAACCAACAGAGAATATATGGAAAAAATGTGCTGAAGAATTTGAAAATAGATGGCGGATTTCCCAATTGCATTCGCAGCGTGGACGGTAAACATGCAACAATCAAGAGACCTAACAACAGTGGCTCCAATTACTGGTGCTATTTACATAAATATTCAATAGTACTTATGGCCATTGTTGGCCCGGACTATAAATTTATATGTGTTGATATTGGTGGTTTCGGAAAAAATAGTGATGGGGGTATTTTCGAAACCTCAAACATGGGAAAACGATTTGAACAAAATTTAATGAGTGTGTCTGCACCTAGATTTCTCCCTGGGCAAAATGAAATCTGCTCGTACGTCTTAATTGGTGATGAAGCATTTGCTTTAAAACCATACCTTATGAGACCATTTCCTTATAAGCAGACTTTAACAGTCGTCAGAAAAGAGAAATACAATGTAAGACTTTGTCTAGCTAGAAGGGTCGTGGAAAATGCGTTTGGTATTTTGTGTCAAAAATGGCGAATATTTTACAGGCCATTAGAAACTAAAGTAGATACTACTATTCTAATTGTACGTACGGCATGTGTTTTAGACATTTTTTTACGAAGTAAAAGTGGCGATGACAAATATTTTCAATTCTTAGATCCCCCAGAACCCGTGCTTGGAGCTTTTACTGATATAGCAAATGATCCTCGGCGGGCAGCACTCGTGACAAATTCGTAAATTATTTTAATTCTGATATGCCTCTGCCCAATATATAGAATGTTCGTTTTCACATTTGTGTAGACTGTAAATTATTTAACAAGTTAATAAAAAATATTAGGTACATACCATTTGTATTTAATTCTTTTCCTATTTCCATCCAAATCTTGTCTTTCTTTCTCACATTCCTGTATTCATCGTTCGACAAACCATACAAACAAGGATACTTTTTCACTATTTCTATCAATAATTCCGTTTTTGCCATTGCGAATTTTTGAAGAACGGCGTCAAAAACGCGGTCAAAGGCGAACTGAAATACGCCGCGATAAAAACGCTGGAACAATCGCCGTCGCTTCGCACAAGTCTGAGCCTGTCCGTAAACCGCCGCGTTTTAATCTGATCGCGAAATCATCGCCGCAAAATTTTCGCAACCAAAGCGAATATTTCGCGCCGGTTTGTGGGATGCTTAAACGCTCTTTCGTACGACTCGAACAGGACCACACCCACAAATGTTAAGTGAGGTTATATTGTTGACGTTGACATTCGGTATTGACATGCACGGAAATAACCCTCTGCGCCGATTATCGCGCATATTCTATAGAACGGGTTTTATATTTATACCATGAAAATTTTCACAAGAATTCTTTTACGTGTAATAGGACAGCAAACATTTTCGGCATAATTATGACCATAATTTTCGGAGTAATTCTCTTGTGTGTAAAACGGCTCTAACACTAAATAGGGAACTGATAGGCACAGACCCTATAATATTTTACCTGCTCCAAAAATCAATGGTTTAAATTTAGCTGATATCAAAGTTGGTTGACACCCCACTGGTCAGTGGAATTTGAAGTGCCAGTTATATTGATATTGAAAGCTAAAGTCTCATGTATGACGTGTCAGAAAATTAATTTTAACTTTGACGTTCGCGAATGGGGTAGTATGGGGGTAATGCAAAGTTTAATGCTCCGAAAGCTGAATCCTCACCGACATCTAATATATTTTCAAAAGAAGGTTACTTTCACCTCAAATACTATATAAATAAGAAAACTGACCATATTTGAAGGTCAGAGAATCTACCCGTCATCGAGAAGAAGCCAATGCACCCACTACGAGCGTTTGACGCCGTTTTTCCAAAAGTTGAAAATAATGATACTGGTTCCAGCAAGTCGGCACAAGCTGCCACTCTCAATAACAATCGGATTTTTTTATAAATGTTATGCTGACCATTCAGAGACAACTGAAGCTTTAAAACATGAAATCGATGTTTGAATTCAAGAAATTCAAGCTCAACAAAGCACTTGAGCATTGGATTGATGGAATCAGGTAGTGTCGAGCCGTTTGAACGATATTGTGTTTCATTTTCAAATGTCAAGACTCAACCTTTCTAATAAAACTAGAAATTTGGAAAAATGTTTCTTTTTTATAAGCAGATTCGAATTCCAAATTTTAAGTGCAAGCCTATATATATTGACAATGATAAGGTGTACTGTTGCTAAATAGCCAACTTGATGCACTATCAATACACTTTATCATTTTATGAATAGACATTTGTTGGACGAAATGTCACTAAAAATTATGCCCAACCATCTCATCAAATTGGAATCAAACGTATTGATCTCAGGCTGGCAGTGGGCGACTCCAGTACTTCATCGTTATCGGTTAATTACCTTTGATATGGAATGTATTTAAAACATCGGTTTATTGGGGTAGAAACGGTTTTATCTTCTAACTAAAAAATATATATGCCTTTGCGTTGCCTTGGCAGGTATAACAGCATGTCAGGTATCGACGCGAAACAGGTCTGGGGATATCGCAGCAATGTTGTTAATGGCCTCTCCAAACAAACAAAAAGGACCCCGACGTTATCTTAACCCTGTAAGACACCTTGTAGCCATATGTCTACAACGATCTTTTAGGTATCTTCTAACGTTTTCTATCCCTTGTACACTCTATTGCTCGATGTAGACATGTGGAAACAGCCTCAAGTTAGGCGCAGTTACCATCCGCCATCTATTAGCGAAATCGAGAAATAATTTTTTAATATGTCAACCGGCAGCTGTTCAGTTCGTTTCGCCGGCGTCGTTGCACTGGCGTGTTTGAGAGATAATTAGGTAGGTAAATTTTCATAAAATACATTAGTATGATATAATATTGGTTGTACATGTCCAAAACACATAATACATGGTAAGATTATCCAAAGTAGCATAGGAGAGTATAGAAAATGAAGTTTGAAAACGATTGTAGCCATATGTCAACATTGAACCTTCATGGTTGAGCCAATGTAAGATACTGTTTTATCCATTTTTGTTTCGTTGCAGCTTGAAAAATGGATCCTTTCGAAAATCTAAAAACCATTTCGGCGAGGTGTTTTTACAAAAAGAAGGCAGACTTTATACCTGTATTGCCGGCGAATCTAGAAATATCCGATATTTCAGATAAAAGTGATTCCGATAATGAAAATTTGGAAGATGATGTGTTACGCCTCGGAAGTAATGATGCAGATGATGTAAATCCGTTGCCTTGCTCAAGTAGGTCTACAGTTGAAGTTATTCAGAATAACAGTAGCTCCTCGGATGAGTCAGATGACGAAGAAATAAAACCAATAGCTTCTAAAAGAAGGAAGAAGAGCAATCGAAGGATCCAAAAGGCTGATGTCGTATATAATTGGGTAGAGGAAGATTTACCTAATTTTGAAAAACCTACGTCAGATGTAAACTTTGGAGATGATAATTATCATTATCCATTACAGTACTTTTTAGAGTTTTTCTCATATGAATGCATTGAACTGATAGTGAAGGAATCAAATTTGTATTGTACTCAAATGACTGGGAAAAGTCTAGATACAGATAACAAAGAAGTTACTAATTTTATTGCTATCCTTATCTACATGGGCGTCATTTCTCTTCCTAGTTACAAAGATTATTGGTCGGCTACTCTAAGAATTGAATCTATAGCGAATGTTATGTCACTAAGGAGATTCAAACAATTACGCAGATATATACACTTCAATGATAATTCTTTAGTTGGCAGTTCTCAAGATAGGTTTTATAAAATTAGACCGCTCTTGGACATAGTCAACAGAAACTGCTCTAAGTTTGAGATAGAAAATCGTTTCTCCATTGATGAGACAATGGTACCGTACAAAGGTACACGGGCAGGTAACCTTCGTCAATATATGAAAAACAAACCACACAAATGGGGTTACAAATTCTTCATGAGAGCTGGAGTATCGGGATTGATTTACTCTTTTATTCCATATCAAGGGAAAAATACTTTTTCTTTATTAGATGGCACTGCCATGCAGTTAGCAGAAAATGAACTGGCTATGGGAGTTGGTAGTAGCGTAGTTATTGCTCTCACTAAAACCATCCAAAACCCAGCTCACAGCATTGTGTACTTTGACAATTATTTTTCGAGTGTGAACTTATTTTTATATCTAAAGCACAGATTCAACATTTATAGCTTAGGAACTCTTCGGAACAATAGACTAAATGGCTGCCAGCTGATATCTGATAAGGAATTGCTAAAAAAATACAGAGGGAAGTATGACTACAAGTCCACAAACAGGGAATGCATAATTGTCAAATGGGCTGACAATAAATGTGTTTTGATTGGAAGTACAATTCATGGTGTATCCCCTGAAAATACGCTTCGTCGATATTGCAAAGAAAAAAAAGGTAAAACGAATATACCTTGTCCATCCATTATTATGGAGTACAACAGGCATATGGGAGGTGTTGATAAGTCAAATTCGCTGGTCGGGCTTTACAGAACTCCTGGTCGTGCTAAGCGGTGGTACTTCCCGATTTTCGCCTATATCATCGACATGTGTATAGTCAACGCATGGTTACTATACAAAGAGAACAATAAAAATGAAAAGAAGTGTATGCCCCTAAAAGAATTTAGATGTGATATTGCAAAGGGCTTGTCCACCACTGGGAAACCGAAACCTGGAAGGCCGGTATCATCACCTAAGTCCAATTCAATAATAATACACCCAGTCGTTCCAAGACCTTCAGATGTTACCAGAAAGGATACTGTTGGTCATTGGCCAGTTCATACGACAAAGGGAAGATGCCGAATGTGCACTACGGGATTTTCTCGAATAATGTGCCGAAAATGTATGTGTCGGCTATGCCTAAATGATAAAAATAATTGTTTTGTTCATTTTCATCTGTGAGATAGATTCCTTTATGTTATAATTTTCACATTTGTCTCACCTTGTATATTTTTTATACGGAATATATTGTTTTTCGTTTTTGATGGAAATACTTTGATTTTTTTTGTAATAAAATATTATTGCAATTTTTAATGTGTTTTGTTACAATTATATTTTTAATCCGCTTATAGACCGTAACGGTCAATGTTGACATTTGGCAACAATTGCAAAGTACACTTTCTAATAACAATGACTTCAATATATGGATCTAAACTTGTTCCTACAGTGATTTTTTATAGCCAGTGAAAATTTACGAATTTTAACTTAAAAAATAATAGGAGTGAACCTTACAGGGTTAAGGCACTCAGACCATTGATTGCTTTTAAGCTATCGGTGTAGAGAGAAACAAAGAAAAACAAAATTTATGGTGGTATGAGGAAAAAACAATTTCTTTGTCCCTGCTCCATGTGTCTCCAAAGTTTCTGATTATATCTAGTCCCGACCCTAAAGTTTAAAACACATTGCTTTAGCTTTAATGACAGCCGAACCTCGACACGAAGGCAGTGCAGTTCCTCAAAAAGGGGTGCAAGGTGTGTATACTGTATAAAACAGAAATATTTCATGAGAGATAGATTTTAAAGGAAGCAAAAGTATAAGGGATATATTAAATAACATATTAGGTGTTTAAAAATATGTATTAAGTAGTTACTAAGATATTATATTATGCTCTCCGTTTAAGAAAGGCACTAAAAGGCACTGTAATTCTGGACTAATAAAGCCTTCGAAATCGTACATTTTTCATTTAGTGTAGCACCGCCAAGTTAGATTGAAATAATAATAATGTTTCTTTCTGCAAGCGGAAGGAATTTAGCTGTCCATGGTAACAATTTTCTCAATTCTATTATAAGTTTTTCTTATTATCCAGCCATAGTAGTAAAATGAATTCTAGCTCTGCAGCATTTTTATTAATAATTCTATTACAGATAATAGGATACCTACTGACTGATTACATGGTGTGACACGAGCGTTTGAATTTTGTAAACATTTTGTTCAATTGCGACATTTATTAAACACGCGTTACAGAATTTTCGAAAAGGCGCAAACTTAATATAGAGTTTTTTATGAAAATAATAAATAATTAATTCCACCAATTTACTTGGAATCTAGAATTTAGCATTATCAACTATTTTCACCCCAAACGGTATAAAGCAAGCACTGAATATTTGTATGAAATAAGACCGGGAATTAGGAAACGTTGGTATATTGATAATTATAGCTGGTTATCACACGTACCTTCATAACATCAGTTTTAATGTCACCAGCGTCATCGATGATACCAATCTTCTTAACTACACATAAGATGTGGTCCTTCAATTTTTCGTCATTTGCGAAATCTCCTTGCCTTGCCTTTTTCACCAATTCTTCATCAACCTTGGTTTCGGCTGAGCACTCCTTGTGATGGTTCCTCAGTTTTTGTCTTTGTTCTTCAGACAAATCTGCCTGTAAAAAATAATCTCTGATAAAAAAGCTATTATTTTCCAGAAACATCAGCAATACTTTATCCATGAAAGTTTGAGCCGCCTTTGCACATGTGACAGAATTGCAATGTTGGTGAGCAGGCTTGTAAGGACATTAATATGTCAAACTATTAAATATATTGTATCGAATCCAGATTACGGATAGGGACTACTCAAATTGAAGCCTTTGTATCTCGGAAACTACTCGTGTTAAAACCATAGATACTTCGTTCTACGTGTTGAGATCACAACATTCGGAATTTGATAAACTCTAAATAGCTTCAAATCCGAGATTTCGTTGTGGTACATTTCAGAAAAGACAACAATTCAGAATTTTTACATAGCTGGTATTTGAATGTACGAGTCAATCTATGTGACACCATTATTGACTCAATCGTACCAACCTATCGAGCCACTATAACAAATGCAATTGCGGTACTATTTTTTGAATGGCCATATGACTATTAGTGCAAAAAATCTTATTATTACCCTTTCATAGATTGAAAGTTACACTGATATTACTTTTAAATACATAATTAATTCAATGTCTGCATGATCCTCATTAAGCAACGCATACACGTAACTAATTTTTTTTTTCAAATAATTATACATCTATTATGAGTGACTAATAAAATGGTAGATATACTAAATATTCTCATTAATTGCATGTGTTTATGTAACTATCAATGATTAGAACCAAGGTTTTGTATGGATGAGGATGTACATATTGTTGAAGTAACAATCCATAAGCTTGTATTGTCATTTTATTATTTATGGAACAAATGGAGTTAAGCCGACAGGAATAAGTTTGAAATCGAAAAACACAAATATCTTCAATCGACCGGTATTTTCAAGGACAATAAACAATTGCAATGACATTACAAATCTTCCATGTCCAAATGTTTTCAATTAAGTAATGTACACGAACTTAGAAATTGACTGGGTGTACGAATGTCTGAAATTCAAGAACATCTGCTTTGTACGAGATTGAATATTTTTTTATTCAGCGAACTCCACCAGTACTACCACTCTTTAAATAATAATTACATTTTTCTGGAATGTTATCCGCAGTGGCATGACAATGGCATGAAGAGCAGAGGTGATATAAAGAATGTTGGCTCTGTACGCATCCATACCATATGATCCATTATTGATCCTAAAATATTGCTTAGTATAACAATACCACAAATATTTGCATTATATCAAATTACTTTACAGAGTTTGGTTATATCGGAGGTAGTAATATTTTTGTACTAAAACAAAAAGCCTGGTTTTCAATTATTAGCTACCCTAATTTTTAAATACTGAAGTAATGTATGATATCACGACACATTATGCAATCATCTAATACAAAACTTTCCCGCCTAACGGTAGACAGCGTTAACTTACAAATATTCAAATGTGATGTGAAAATTGGTCAGTTTTGTCGATTGCGATTATTTTCCACTACATTTCAAAGGGTGGCGATATATTATGTCATCCAATGAAATTGCAAATTGAAACAAGTTTTGTGGTCAGTAGATAGTGCTCGACACAAATATATGCCCCATGGAAATTCCATTTAGATTTGTTAATTGCAATAGCAGTATACTAGCGGCAATTCCAGCAATTAGAAATAAATATTGTTTTAACAGATGAATAGAGAGGGAGTAAATTTAACCGCTGCTCAAGCATCACAGAGAAGGTAAATGAGGCTTCGTAATATATAACACTAGCTCTGTGGTATTGTTCAGCGGAGTTCATACTAAAAGTCCATCAGGCTTAAGCCGCCTGTAATAAAGAGTTAAAAACTAAATTCCAAATTACGTTTCGATAGCTCTACCCATTATTATGTAAAAATTCACAGTCGAGCAAGTTTGTAAGCACAAAAGGCCGAGGCTCGCACTATAATCAAAATTAATTCTTGAATTCAGTACAACCAAAATTGGAGCATTTTAGAACACTCAAATATTTTAGACCATATCAAAATCTGTCAAGTGATTTTAACAATATCTAAAAGATTATCTTCTTTCTCTTTGCTCTCTTTCTTTGTTCTCTCCTTTTCTTCTCGGTTTTCCATAAAATTGTCTGGTTGTCTGTGAGTACATTTATTTTGAGGATCCTCAGTATTTGATATTGCATGTCAGAGGATCAGAGCATTCAAATACTCAAACTCAGGAAATATCTGCTTTGATTTTTTAAATCTTCTTTTATGAGCTATTTTTTTGCCAAAAAATTTCTAGTTCTCGTACATTTTGTGGGAAATATTCATTTTCTGTAAAATTGTATGTCGACTTATTTAGACTGTATCAATTACAGTAAATTATTAAAAATAATATAAAATAATTGCCACGTGTATATGATAGGTAATTGAGTTTTGATTTGATAATATCATTTATTTTTTATATTATTAATCGATGCACTTGTTTATTGGCACATAACGGCGTAAACGGTCTTGGAAATATTAGTACACATACAGGGTGCCCAAGATAAGGATCTTATGCATGGGGATGCCAATACCTGTGGGATATATAGCTTAAGTTAAATTAGAAAAAAGTGCATGTTCTCGTAAATACGCCCCAAAGAATGCAGTTTTCTCCTAATTTAACCTAAGCTGTATCTCCCACAGGTATTGAGATCCCCGTACATAGGATCCCTACGTTGGTGATTAGATAGATATATTTATTACCGATACTGACTTATTAATCACTACAATTGCTATTGTTACTTGTTTTCTTGAGAACCTCTCATATAAGTATTCGTATTCAAATGTTTTTGAGCGCTTTTTTGATGCTTGAGTAGTTAGCTAAAAACTTGTAGTATATTTGCAAATAATGCGAATATTTTTGACACGGTAAGAGAAAGATTAGATTGTTTTTTGTGGCGTGTTGAATTAAAATATATCACTTTTCTGTTCCTTTCTAGGAGAAACATTTAGATTATTCCATATTCTCTATGATATTTAATAAAGATATGTATTATGTTACAATGCGCTCATGTGATATTTTTTTCTTTCTCACGATAGATCAAAAGAAAGACGGGTAAGTTGATTGATTCAATATGAATCTTACTGAAAAAATAGATTTTTTAAATTGGGCAATTAGGAAATGGTAGCATCATCGTAAAATAATCAGGAAGACCAGAAGTGGGTTTTTTAGAGCCTACATTCTCAGAAAAATATACTCATCTAAGCAAAATCATAATATGTATAATGAGATTTCTGTTTCTATTAAAAATCCTTACCCTGGCGCTCAGATTTTTTAAAATATATTTTCAATACGTCCGGAATATTTAGTTGTTTGGCATATCAAAATGTATATCTAAGCGTGACTAAAAATCAACCAACTTGAGACAGTTTTTTGGGTATACCATAAAAAATAATTAGTAAAGTAAAATTTTGCGCAAGGTACAAAATGAGTCTAATTTGGAAAAGTGTGCTTGTGTTTGAAGCGCATTGATATTGACTAGACGCCTAGGATGGAAACAGACGAAATATTATATATATATATATATATATATATATTTATAAAAAATGAAATTTAAGCATCGAAACTTTATATACACTTAATAAACAAACATTGTCATACCTTGACCACAACAGCTAGGGCGCAGATAACAGCAGCAACAACAAAAGCTTTCATCTTGTAGGTTTACTGGTGAACAGGTGCAGAAGTACTACAGAACAGCCGGCTCACCGGCCAGATTTTATACCCATCGACCGCGGACCGGTTGGTCGCGGCGAATTATCATATGGTCTATTGTTTCTTCTTCCATCTCTTCTCTGTCAAGGGCAAATAACCCCGGTGTTTAAAAATAGTATCAGAATATGCTAATAACGTCGAGGCATCCAAAGTGGCATTATGGGAATCGGCCAGTTGTTTTCGCAAAATACAAATACAAAATGGACCTTTGGACTGTTCACAGATAATCATACCGACCCTATATTTCACCGTAAGTATTTGAACTTTACTTTTTGCAATATTGTATGCAGGGTACTGGTTGATCGTCATGATATTTTTTAATGATTACAGGCACTAAAAACAATTTGCTTTATATACAGTGAGTTAAAAAGTTCTCGGTCAAACCCCAGGAGGTGATGCTTTTGGCGATTCTACATATAAACGTAGGTTCAGTAATGTTTCGCTTTCAAAATATATGGTCTCAACCTGTTGTGCTCACTAAAATTTCTTGGAATTTGGTAAGTGCAGACGTATGTTCAAAAATTTACGGAAATTGCTTTATTAAAACCTCAAACTGTAATGACCAACTAGATCACTGCATTCAAGTCCGTTAAATTTTTCTCTTTCGGCTCATATATATATTTATATATATATATATATATATATATATATCTGTTGAACGGTATTTGTGAAACACCAGAAACACAAACTGTATCTTAATCTTGATTCCATTTGATTATAACAAATAGCTACCAATTGACGTTTAATGTAACACCTGAACTTAGCCTCTGGTTTTCAGCCTTATGACTTTGGGAGTTCATTTTTGAGACTGTTCAAGTTACAAATTCTTGAGATTCGGTCAACTTAAAACATTTATTAAAAATTGGACGTTTTGTCGACTTTAAACGTCACCTACAAGTAAATGTGTTTCTAGAACAGAAACAATTTTCTGCTCTTTTTCTTGGATTTTTTTTTGAGGTCTTCTGTATTGTCTTAATAGGTCCATCTTATCGTTATTTCTGTTGAGGTCCATTTTCATCCAGGACTACAGTAAATCTGCGGTTTTGCATTCCTGGCCGTTGATATCAATTCAAGTTATACATTTTCGCGATTCGGGCAATTTAAAACATTTATCAAAAATACGACCTTTCGGCGAGTTTAAGCGCTATCTTCGTGTAGATATCAGTTTTTAGAAAACATTTTTATGTTCTTCTTATAGGCAAGCTTTTTTTTAAGTCCCCTATATAGTCTTAATATCATTATTTCTGTTGAGGTCCATTTTCTTCCAGGACTAGAAACTCACATGTACCTGGAAATGGCGATTAAAGTCGCTGAAACGTCGTATTTTTAATAAATTTTTTCAGTTGACCGAATCCTAGGAATTCATATCAATTCATGTCAACAATACAAAACTGCAAATTGTTTGAGCTACCTATATATTCTCTAAAATTCAGGCATGCGCCAATGTACAGTCCGAGGTAATTTACTTGTGTTTCAGTGGGTATTGTTGAAACACCATGAGACATTTACATTGGGGCTAAATATTTCCGCCTTTTCTTTCGTTATTGAGCTCACAAAATAAGTTTTTCTGGATTCAAATACAGTTGATTACTCCCTAATATCCTATTTGATTTAATTTAGATTATGGGTCATAGGTATTTACCTACTGTATTTCATCTTTTACTTGAGCACCACGCAGGCAGCGTTGCCAGATGGGCCAGACGAAATTTCCCCAGAACGAGCAAAAAAGTCCCACAGAATTGCAGCTTTTTCAAAGTTTTGTTTTTATTCAAAAGTACGCAGCGCTGAATACGGTTCTTCCACTCCTCATAGCAGTGCTGGAACTCCAATATTTGAATAGCCTTCAACTGGTCGGTTACAGCAGTTTGTATGTTTCCGAATGCCCTTGAGGTAATTTTTCAACTTTGGGAAGAGAAAAAAGCCACAAGGACTCAAGTCAGGCGAATAAGGAGGCTGAGGAGCCACATCAATATTTTTACTGACTTAAAACTCGTTTATTGACATTGCACTGTGACAAGGAGCATTATCGTGATGCAACACCCAGTTGTTCTTGATCTGATGAAAATGCCTTAAACTACCGAAAAACCTGGGCTCTGGACAAAAGACTATGTTCGTCTTAATCAAAACCTGATAGCACACCG